GAGATAATATATATGTTGAGGGCTCTAATGGACCAGAACCACCCTCAGACTCTGCAGTTGGAATGATCCCTGCAGAAAACTGAGACTGTTGATCCAGAAAGGTTGGGCAGCAAACCCAAAACCAAATTGTGAACGTCCTTTAGAAGCCCACTAGTTTTGCTCACAAAGGAGAGTCGGGCACAGTCAGGCACAGGGACTGACTTCACTTAAAGCGTGGTTTGCTCCATTTCTGTCTCTATCAGAACAGACTGTAGTGTCAACTACGGTGATTTAACCAAAGCGGGTGATGAGGCAGACTTGGTGTGCTGCAGGCCAGCAGGAAACAGTTGTGTACTGAAGGGCGGAGGTGGAGTGGAACCTACCTGACTTAGAGCAGAGGAGCCCACGGAAACATTCGTTTTTTTTCACTGTTTGAATCAACAGATAACCCTTTGTGGTAGCTGGGTCTGGAGAAGGGATGTGAAGTTATCTTAGGAAAAGGCAGGAAGCTGGGTGGCAGTTAGTGGTGGAGGCTGTCCTTGGGACTTACTCCCTTGGCTTTTCTGGGCAGATGTCTAGATTCCTTTTACTTCTTTCTCAAGACTTCTGGCTGGGTGGTGGTGGTTCACGCCTTTAATCCCAGCACTTGGAGGCAGAGGCAGGCAGATCTCTGCGTTCAAGGCCAGCCTGGGCTACAGAGCGAGTTCCAGGACAGCCAAGGCTACACAGAGAAACCCTGTCTGGAAACAAAACAGAAGAAAAGGTCTGTACCCTGCCTTCCTTTCCTGAGGCTAAGCCTTACTCTGGCAGGTTTGACAGCAATGCCTCTGCCAGCTCCTCCAGTAATGAGGGTGACAGTGACCGGGAAGAGAAGAAGCGCAAACAGCTCAAAAGGGCCAAGATGGCCAAGGATCGCAAGAGCCGCAGGAAGTCCTCAGAGGTACAGGCTCGCCTCTAGATTGGGAGAGTGTCAGTGTGTGTCTCATTTCCTGTTTCCTCTCTCCTGTTCACTGCCAGCCCTGTTGGCTGTGCTGCCTCTGTAGGCGAGTGTGGCTTTGGTAGATATCTTCTAGGTTTGCTTTTTGGTCCTGAGATACTCTGTTTCTAGAAGATCTGGATTTTTTGTTCGTTTGTCTAATTTTAATATTTTTTGACAATTTTATAATACATTCAGTGTGCTGTGATTTTATTCATACCCCTTTCCCCTCTGTTGCCTCCTTCAACTCCTTAACTAGTCCGTCTTTTACGTTCACATCTCATCTCTTTGCTTTGTATCTGGTGAGTTTAGCTAGGATTGCTTGTATAGCATGAGTAAGATCTTACCAGTGGCTGCCCCGCTAAAGAAAATGATTCATCTTCTCCTAGCAACTGCACACTAACTGCATATAGCTCCTTAGGAAGGGTGAGCCCTCGTGGGTGCCTCTCTCATCTAAGAGAATATCAGGGCCCACTCTTGTATTGGGCTATTGACAGTCACAACAGCCATGTTGTATCTGGGTGGCAGTGTTTCATAGCACTCCGCCCTTTTCTCTGGCTCTTGTATTCTTCCTGCTCACCTCTTTAGCTATATCCTTAGGGCCTTGGTGATAGAGATGTTCTGTTCAGGACTGAGCACTCAGTTGTCACTTACTCTCAGCACCATGACAGATGTGAGTCTCTGCATCTGAATTAGGAGACATCCTGCCTCTGCTGAGGAGATCTCTTGGAGAAGGAAGAAGTTGCCATTCCTGCCCTTAAAGCTGTTCCTGTGTACCCAGTACTATTGAGTTCTTTGTGCATCTCCTCCCCCCATTGGTTTCCTTGGGAAAACTTGGGATAGTTGTGAGATGTGGATGGCTCATGGCATTTGGGTTCTTTCTCATATAGGTGAAGAAGGGCAAAGATCCAAATGCCCCTAAGAGGCCTATGTCTGCATACATGTTGTGGCTTAATGCCAGCCGAGAGAAGATCAAGTCAGACCACCCTGGCATCAGCATCACAGATCTTTCTAAGAAGGCAGGCGAGATCTGGAAGGGGATGTCCAAAGAGAAGAAGGAGGCGAGTAGCAGTGGAATGGAGGGGTGGAGAGAAGGGCTTTGTGTGGGGTACAGGGTGTGCACTTAGAACAGCTGTAGATACGGTTTGCTTTCGTTGGTCTAAGCGACTGTCTGTGACAGGAATGGGACCGCAAGGCTGAGGACGCCAGGAGGGACTATGAAAAGGCCATGAAAGAATATGAAGGAGGAAGAGGGGAGTCTTCTAAGAGGTGAGTGTCCGAACAAAATGGCCTCAGTGACTGCTTTTGTAGCAGATTTTTTTTTCCGGGTCAGAATTGAGAGTTGTGGTATATGTATTTGACAGCAGTGAAGGAGTGAGTGCTGCTTATGCCATTGCTAGTGGTGTGGGCGAGGTACAGGGTTAGCAGATAAGTACGTCCCATTTTCCTAGCTCAGTTTTGTTTGAAGTAATTCGAAAGTTTAGAAAAAAGTATCTTTGTGAAGCTTAATTCAAAATCTATATGAGCTTTGAAATAAAAGTGTCAGGTAAGTTTTGCATGAGTTGCTTCAGGCTGTGACCCTGGTTCTTCTGGGGTACTTGTGTATGATCCTCTCCTTTGGTGCACTTTGGGATGACAGAGCTGACATTACATTTCCCATGGCGAGAATAGTGTGGCCAGTACTTGGAAAAGTCCTCATTAAAGCCAGGAGAAGTGTGGCTTATCTGATACTGTGGGGAGTCTAATGGCCTGGCATCTTTTGCATTTTCCTAATCTAGGGACAAGTCTAAGAAGAAAAAGAAAGTAAAAGCAAAGATGGAAAAAAAATCCACCCCCTCCAGGGGCTCATCATCCAAGTCTTCATCAAGGCAGCTAAGTGAGAGCTTCAAGAGCAAAGAATTTGTGTCCAGTGATGAGAGCTCTTCAGGAGAGAACAAGAGCAAAAAGAAAAGGAGGCGGAGCGAGGTGCGGCGGGAATGTGGGGTTGAGGGGCATGGGAGTCTGGGGGTGGGTAAGATGGGGTTGTGGTTGGTCTATAAGAGTAATGAGTTAGAGTGGACAGGTGGGTTTCTGAGGTTTTGAGGAATGCAGGAGTCAGGAGGAGGAACCAGGCATTAGGTACTTCTCACCACAAAGTGGCCTAAGAGACCTTTGGTTTTTCAGGACTCTGAAGAAGAGGAACTAGCCAGTACTCCTCCAAGCTCAGAGGACTCTGCCTCGGGATCTGACGAGTAGAGGAAGGCAATTCTTGTCCTTGCCCTGTCCCATCTCCAGGCTTCCTACTCAGTTTGGTACCAGTTTCTCACATAGTCCTTGGATTCTGTGCCATCTGAGTAACTGCTCCTGGTGGCTTCCACTTCTCTGAGGCACCGAGGGAAACATCTAACCTCTACTGCTTTGCAAGGATGACTCCTTATAATCTGGGGGAAGACTGGGTAGGAGTGTGTTCTGTCTGCTCACAGTGCATTGAAGGACCCAAATCCTCGTCTCAGTTTCCCGACTGTAGGGATAAAGCCGCCTCCTATCTTGTTCCAGTGGCTGCCGAAGGGGCCGTGTGAAGTCAGGCTGATAGCTCCTGATAGGGGCCTATTTCTACTTTTATTTTGTATTTCTGGTCTGTGAAGTCAATTTAATAAATGGAACTGACTTTGGAAACGATGTCCTTATGTCTCCTTTCCCACTTTACAAGTGTTTACCCTCCTGTCCTTACTGGGCAGGTCCCTCCTGCCCAGCTGGGAAGCAAGTCTCTAGGTACATCCTGTTCTTCCCGGCTGTACAAGCATTGGTTTTCACCCTCGTCTGTGGAACTGTGCCACCTGAGAGTCAAGAAATGAGTGCTGATGTGATTAGAAAGCCTCTCATCGTTCCACTCCATTAGCCAGCACGGGGGTGGGAGTGGGGGTTAGTTCTGAGCTCCATCCTTAATCACCTTAGGAGTCAAGGGTCTTACAAGGCTTGAGACAATAGAATGAGGATCGGCTTTCCTTCCTAGTGTAGGGAGTGCAAACCTGAGTCAGAAGGACGAGGTGTGTGTATCTGAAGAACGGGAGGGCTACAAAATTTTGTGTTTGGGAAGTGTATCTAAGAGATCTTAAACAGATAACACGAGGGAAAATGCTACCCCACTTCCCACTGTGGCTCTCAATCTGAATTTATCCACCTGGGGTGGCCACGTCGCTTGCGCTCCCAGGAAGACTCAGGTGTAACAGGAAGCCTCTTCAGTCCGCCAACGGTTCCTTTCGAGCGGCCCGCGCTCTATGGTGCTGTAATCAGTGTAGGCTTAGGGAAAGCAGTCCAGGGCGGTTTCCTCTCTAGGCAGTCATCTCGGTGGCGCTGGGGTAAAATTGCGTCAGTTTCGCCTAGGTCTGAATCAGGACCGGCCCCTCATTTACAAGGTCATGAATAATTATGTACGAGCTGTGCTTGTTTGCATACGGTGCGCCGGACTCTGCTTCAGCTTCGACTTCCCACTCCCGGATTCCTACATGAATATTCATGAGCGACATGGAGGCGTGGCCCTGGGCGGGACTAGGGGAGGGGCCCCGGGGCTTGCACTGGCTCGGTCCCGCGGTGACGGTGGCGGTGGCGGCGGCAGCAGCGGTCACTGGCGTCGGGGTGCCTAGCTGAGCAGAGCCCATCCTGGGGGAGCGCGTGAGTGCGCGGCGGCGGCCGGAGGGGGCGGGGTCCGGGGATGGGGGCGGGGAAGGGCATGGAAAGAACCCCGCGCCTAGCAGCCAGGACCTCAGGTTGGGGCGGCGGCGGCGATGAGGGCGGGGGGGTCACCAGGAAAGTTTGCGAGGGCCTGGGGCGCTGGGGACGCAGGGGCGCTGCAGAGCTGGCGCGTGTGTGCGGGGGTGGAGGGCACTCGTGCCGGGAGCCAGAAGAAAGCGGGGAGAGGCGAGGGTGGGGCGGGGCCGGAGGCGGGCGGAGCTGCTCCAGGGACCCCCCCCTCCTACCCCTGCCTTCCCCGGCCCCCTTCCCCGGCTCCCATGGCACGCCCCCAGCCACCCCTGGCCTCCCCCACAATCCGCGTCGCCAGTCCTCGGTCTGTTCCTTCGCGGGCTGCTTGGCATCTCGCACTGTCCTCGGCTGCTGCTGCCCCCGCCTCCTCCACCCTCGTCTGCTCCTCCTCTTCGGCTGGCCGCTCGATGTCCGTAAGCCCCTTACTGAGGCCCTCCAAACAACCCCTTGCCCTGGGCTGTTCCGTCTTCCTGTTGGTCCTCCCTCTCCCAACACTTAACCCTCCTGGTTGCACTAGCCGCACATCCAGCGAGAGACCTTTAGAGACGACCCTGCCTGCCCTTAGGGTGCCTGCCCAGGGTTGAGGCTACCTAGCTCCTTCCCATCCTTTGGGGGCAGCCTTTACTCCCAGGGCTGTCTGGCTCCCCGAGACCATTAAGGGTGCGGAGTTCTTGAGGCACTGCGATTCTGCAGCTTGAGGCCATGGCCTTGGTTTCCTGGGGCTCCTGGCTGGGGCCTCTCTACTGTAGCCACCTCCCCTCTTGGGGACTCTTGGGAGCCTGTTTTCATCTCTGCCGCCCCTTATAACCGCAGAGGTGTCTGTCCATCAAGCCCGCAGGTGAGAGGGTTTTTCTGTTCTGGACTAGTTTTTCTCCATTTCTAACCACCCACACCATATCCCTTGTAATAATGTTCAAGGACAAGGAAACAGTCTTGTATATTTTTAATTTTATTTTTTCTTGTCATCTCCCCCCCCCTCCGCGCGTTATTCTCCCACGCACCAGGGATACATACAGCCCGTGGTAATTGGCTGATCAGAGCCTGATATTGTCAGAGTTTCTCTCCATACCCTCTTTGAAATAAGCTGCGACAGGGTCAAGGGGATAGGGATGTCTTTTTGCAAAGACTGGGCACCACCACAGGTCGTTTTTTTAGAATTGAGAGCTGTCTTCTCAGACCGGCTGGAGTGGGAGGGGGACTTGGAGGTTGCAACACCTGAGGGTTGGGTTGCCCTCCAGGGCTGTGTGCATTCCATGTGTTAGGCAGCTTCTCCCTTGCTCTTGAACGTGAGGGGCCAGTGCTCGCTATTCACCAGGCTGCAGCGCCTGAGGGGGTCTTGTGGGTGGGAGGGTGCTTCAGCAGCCAGGGTGGGAACTGAGGAGGTGGAGTGCCTGAAGAACTGGTGACTTGGGGGCATGAAGGAATGGTCTAGGAATGCAGCCGAGGCTAGGGGGGAAGGTATAGGTGGTTACCATGGATGTTAGTTAGCTCATTGGTGACACTGAATGTAGTCACATTAATAAGTGGCCAACCTATCACTTCCCTGCTTGATATTTTGCATGTGTTGTGTGGCTTGAAACTCAGGTCTTACTACCCCATTTTTCAGATAGGGAAAAGTCACACAGCTCCAACGTGGTAGGCCCACTTAGCGGTTAAATCTTTTAATATCAGATCGAGAAGCTCCTGTGACAAGCTGCTACTCTGTGGCTATCATCTGGTTTAATTTCTTCTGGTCCCTCAAAACTCCTTCAGGCCATCTCCAGGCTAGTGATCCATACATATTCCCATTTCACAGGCTAAGCAGGCCCCTCCCTGACTGCCCTGGAAGGCAGAACCCTGGGGAGTTTTCCTCCAAGTCACCACCCCCTCCCACCCCCCCATGTAATCAAGCCCAGTCCGTTCTCCCTTCCCATCCTGGGCCGGCTCCTCCTTCCCTTTGGCTAGGCCCTGGAAATCCAGTGGGAGGCCATTGCTATGGTAACAGGACTAGGCCCTGGCTTTACCTCATCAAATTCCAAGCTGAAGCCAAAACGATTGAGAAATTAAAGGAAAAAAATGTATTCCAGATGTTTACTTTTTATTTCTTATTTCCCTGTGTTTGGATGAGACAGCTCTGAGAGAAGGAGGAGGGGGGCAGGGATGTGGAGGAAGAATGGGGAGCGGGGGTAGGGAGCCACTCCCAGCCATAGAGGGAGGGAGGAGACTGGGAAGAGGGGGGCCGGCAGTGGGGCGGAGCCCCAGGTTGGGGAGGAGCGGGTTTTTCCCGTCTCCCATGAGGTGATTCCCGAGACTTGAGACTTTCCGGCCCTCTTGCCCCGCCTGGAGTGTAGATACCTCTAGTGGGGCTGCCTAACCAAGAGGGGTGTCTGGAGAACTGTAAGTAGGGTGTCATAGGAGGGAGTTTGGGGGTCGTGTGAGTAGAGGTGGCGCTCTGATGCTCCAGATCTTTGAGGTTCAGAGCCAAGAGTTGGAGAGTTGTAGCAAGAGTTGAGGATGTGGCTGTGGGGACCTTCCCCACCCGTCCTGATGGGACCTCCCCGACCTCCTCCTGGAGTTCTCTCTTCCTGTCCCACACAGCCTAGGTTAGAAATAGACTTCCTTGGCCAAGCCTGTTGCCTCGCCCAGCTCCTTTCCTTCTTCACCCCCTCCCCCACTCTCTGGGTCTTCAGCCACCCCAACTTACACTGCTTCGCCTTTCTCAAACAGGGTCTGCCGCATGTGATGAAAGTCGGGGAAGGCACTGCCATGGCTTCCCCACTGCCCCAGGAGATGGGGGAGGAGCTGGCGCCTGTTGGCTCGGAGCCAGGTACCAATGGGTGATGGGTGCAGGGTGGGGCCGGTGACTGGGAGGGTGGGGAGGGCAGAGGCTGCACCCCTATTCTGTCCCGCCAGGTAGCCGAGTGACAGTTGTGTCAAAATGAGAGGCAGCAAGTGTCAAGTGAGCGCCCAAGGGCCTGGGGACCTGGTGAGCGTGAGGTAGAGCTCGGCAGGGGTGGAAGCAGAATCTTTAAGATGGGTCGAGTAACACTTTGAGAAGGAGACACTGAAGCTCAGGAGAAATGGAGTACATTTCTTTCTCCCTGTCTAGACTTTTTTTTTTTTTATGCTTAGCTGAATGAGTGGGTGATACAGGATTCTATTATAGAAGGGTTGTGGCCGTGAGTAATTCCCAAGGTCTTTTATTTGGCATTAGAAAGCCTTATATAGAAGGTAGATTTCTGGCTCTTTTTTTTTTTCTTCCTTTCTTCCTGTGGCAGATTTACTTCTGTTTGACATAGGTCAATAGTAAGTTTGCATTCCTGATCACACACCAGATGACATTGAGGAGGTGGCCTGGGAGTGTGCAGGGAGACAGGGGGAGCTCAGCCAGGATAAAAAGTTCACTATGGGCCGGGCGGTGGTGGCGCACGCCTTTAATCCCAGCACTCGGGAGGCAGAGGCAGGCGGATCTCTGTGAGTTCGAGGCCAGCCTGGGCTACCAAGTGAGTTCCAGGAAAAGGCGCAAAGCTACACAGAGAAACCCTGTCTCGAAAAACCAAAAAAAAAAAAAAAAAAAAAAAAAAAAGTTCACTATGGAAATGTGGTACCTAGGGCCCTATAAAGAAGTAGGGCTAAATTGGGTACCCAGGCTGAGTGCTGAGTGGGGTCAGGCAGATGAATATACTCATTTGTCCATTCATTTATTTAATAGGAATCTGTGCTAGGTGCAAAATAGGATGCCAGAGAAATCAGGTGCCATAGCACCCATAACATAAATAGCTTTAGCTTTTAAGGAGGGGATCGGGTAAACATTGAATGAGTTTGGAGAAAGTAGGCTACATCTGGGGTGTGAAAAAAATCCAGGAAGGCTTCATGGAACAAGCAATGTATAATTGAGCCTCGAAGGATGGGAACTTCCTGAAGTTGGAGGGTGGGAGATTTGGGGTGCAGCAGGAGTCGCAGAAAATTATGTTTCATGATTCTTCTGACAGTTCCGATGAATCCTTCCTTTGGATAGGTGACCCTCGGGCTAAGCCCCCTGTCAAGCCCAAGCCCCGGGCCTTGTCCAGTAAGCCAGCTCTGCCTGCCAAGCCCAGCCTCCTGGTTCCTGTTGGGCCTCGGCCTCCTCGGGGTCCCCTGGCTGAGCTGCCTTCTGCCCGGAAGATGAATATGCTGGCAGGACCCCAGCCCTATGGTGTTAGCAAGCGGCCCCTCACGTTTGCCCCAAGGCCTACAGCTGAGGCACCTGCTGGAGGAGAAGTTACCCAAGAGTCTGGGAAAGAGGATCCTGGGAAAGAAGACTTACCCCCTCTAACGCCCCCAGCTCGGTGTGCTGCCCTGGGAGGTGTGCGGAAGGCCCCTGCCCCCTTCCGTCCCTCCTCTGAGCGGTTTGCGGCCAGTACGGTAGAAGAGATCTTGGCCAAGATGGAGCAGCCTCGGAAGGAGATCCCTGCCAGCCCCGACCGCCTCTGGGGCTCCCGCCTCACTTTTAACCATGATGGAAGCTCTCGATATGGCCCCCGGACCTATGGTACCCCTGGACCCAGAGAGGATGATAAGACCCCTGCCAAAGGACAGGCCCAGGAGGGGACAGCAAAGTCTCCGGCAGAGCACCTGGAAGAACATAGCAAGACTCCCGAGGAGAGGTAAGGGCTAAGGAGAGGTAAGAAGTCTTGAAGGGGCTAGGGAGCAAGTGGGCTCCAGTTTGGGCTGTCACCTTCACTGTTGGGTTAATTATGTGAACGCAGGCCAACCCTGTCGACATCTCAGAGAATCTCTGTAGCAAATGGTGATGTTATTGCGCTCTCTCTCTCTCTCTCTCTCTCTCTTTCTCTCTCTCTCTCTCTCTCTCTGTGTGTGTGTGTGTGTGTGTGTGTGTGTGTGTACAGTGCTGGGGACTGAACCCAGAGCCTTGTGCAAGTGCTTTATCACTGAACCACATCCCCAGCCCACCATAATTCCCTTTATAGAGTTGGTGCGTGTTGTGCCAGAGAGTCTTAAGGTTCAGTAGACCAGTTTGTAGTCCACTGAATACATGCATACACATGCTCTTTGGAAGACGGGACTGTTAGGTCTATTTTAGAGACTGGAAAACCCAGGCTCCAGAGTGACTTCTTACAGTCTCTCAGTTTGAATTCAAATGTGTATATGATTCTAAGGCCTGTGATCTTAACTGCTAGCTCTCAGGATCTGCGGGGCACGGCCTTAGCATGAGGCGTGTGATGGGAGAGATGAGACATTTTCCCATGATGTGTTTCTTACCCATAGCTGGCCTGCATGTAAAGGAAGGCTGGCTGGGAGGTGCTCCTTGGGTTAGTAGACACGGCATGGGAGGGAGGCGAGGGATGTGACCACCCAAGGCTCCAGGGCAAGAGAGCACCAGCCTGAAGATGCATAGTTAGGCCTCTCTCCCTCTGTGGAGGCCAGACCTGTTGTGGTCTGGGCTGAGCCAGTAGCTGATGGTCCTGCCCTGCCCTGCCCTACCCTGCCCTGCCCTGCCCTCCAGCTTTCCCTTCTCTCACCTGAAAACACCTGGTGTTTGGGCTGGGAGATTAACCTTTGCATATCCAGGACCGTGGCTGCTGGGAGACCATGCTGCTTCCCAGCTTGGATTCCTCCTTCCATCCATGAAGGGTTCAGTCTTGGAAAATCACCCCTACGCCCCGTCCCCCGAAACTGTTCAAGAAATAACAGTAGGGCTGCCAGGACTAGCTACGTTCTGGCCAGAAAAGAACTTTAACCCCTTAGGGACTAGGAGAGGGAGACATTGTCTTCTTAGGAACCCCTGAGCGATCTGGACACACATGATTCTCTTCCTAAAAGGGAGGGGGCATTTAAACCTGTGTGTGCAGGAAGGGAGTGAGAGTTATGTCCTGGGCATTCATTATCTGGACACCACCTAGCCTCTTTATCCAAGTGATCCCAGGCCAACCTCAGGAGTAAATCCTGGGCATGTTTAACCTTGGGGTGCTGTTAAAATTGGTTGGGGATACCTTCCCTCCTTTTCTTCAATATGCCTCATCCCCCCTCTGTCTCTGTTCCTCTCAGGAGCCTCACTTCTAGCCTGGCAATGAACGGGGACCTGGCTAAGCTGACGAGCTCTGAGCCACCTACCGATGTGAGTTGTCTTCGTGTTGTGAGCACAGCTGTGGTAGAGCTGGGGAGTCATCTGAGATCTCCTCTTATGCTCTAGAGTTTAGATGGGGAAACTGAGGCCCATGGACTTGCCCAGGGATTGGCTTCCAAGACTCAGATTTTTTTTTTTTTTCCTAAAACTCCCAGCCAGTGTTCCTGGTTATCAAGGTGGCTAAGTGTGGATGATCAAAAGGAGCAGTACTTATGATACCCATACCACTGACCAAGCCCCTCCTGTGTGCAGGGCATGTCCTAGGAATATTAGCCAATTTAGTCCTTTTGGTGACTCTAGCTAGAGGATCTCGTAAGCCCCTTTTCAGAATGCCAGGACTCGGGCTAAGTAACTCACGTGGCCTGAGGCAGGACCTGAAGTGTCTGACTCTAGAATCCTCCCTGGCTGTGCTGGTACTTCTGGGTTCAGAGAGAGAAAAGTCTGGGCTTCCTGCTCATTCCTTGTCTCTGATGAAGCCGAATTTCCTGAGCAAACCATGTCAGAAATGGCCCTTGCATGGAGAGCCAATGTCAGCTAGAGGCTGTCCCACGTGCCCCGGAATAGAGATCTGACTGCATGTAATTGTACGCTGTGTGTTGGGACATCAGAGAACAAAATATGCATTGTGCCTGCTGTAAGGACCTCACCTTCCAAAGGGAGCCAGTCAGACACGAAATTAACTGGCAGATGTATACGGTGTTGCACACGTGCTAGGAGAATTGGGAAGGTCACGTGCTGGGTGAGGGTAGTGGGAAGTCCTCACTACGTAGGTCGGGTAGTGAGTGGTGTGATGCCGAAGGAAGAGCATTCTGGACAGAGGACTCAGCATATGCAGAAGCAAAGAAGCCAAGAGGTCTGGGGTGCAGTGAGATGATGACTGGGTAGCAGTGAGGATCAAGAGGCAATAGTATTAGATGGCAGAGGCTTGGAGGCCTCTAAGGGCTTTGGCTTAAGCAAGGAGAAGATACCACTGAGCAGTCTGAAGTCGGAGAAAGTTGCGTCTGATGACTTAGGTGTAAGGAGACATCTTGCCTTCTAGGTTGAGAAGGGGCTATAGCGAAGTCCAACTAGCAGCAGGGACCGGTGAGATGATGGTTAGCTGGATCCAGGGACAGATGGTAATAGCTTGGACCCCAGGGGCAGCTGTTGGAGCTGGTGAGAAGTGGTCGAATCTGGACTGGAATCTGTAGGCGATAGAGAGGGGCCATGCATAGTTTCTTTGAGGAGGAAGGGAGAGAGAGTCTAGGAATGCAGAATCTAGGAACACCCCAAGGCATGTGGCCTTAGCAACTGGCAGGATGAGATTCCCACTTACTAAGATGGGGGCTTTTAAAGGCAGAGCGTAGCTGGGGGACGTATGAGGAGTTTGCTTTTGAGTTTGTTGAGTTCATGTTGCTCTTTAGACATCCACATGGAAATGTCAGTTGGGTGATTAGCTAGAGGGTGATGACATTTAGGAGAAGTGAGTGTGTTTGAAGGGAAGTCCTGGAGTTTATGGGTGTAGGGATGGTGTTGGAGACTGGCTCAGGTGGTGTACTGGAGGAAGAGGCCCCGAGCACAGCAGTGGAGACAGAACAGCTCCAGAGTGTGGCCAAGCAGAGAAGCCTCTAGGACCGCAGGGGTGTGCTAGCAGCTGCCGATATCTCTGTTGGGTTGCCTCTGGTAAGTATCAATTCGATTTAGCTACAGGGCGGTCGTCAGTGACCCTGGCAAGTAGTTAGGTGCAAGGTGTGACTTAGAAGGCCTGTTTGACATGAGGCAGGAGGAGCTGTGTATAGGGAAGGTAAGCAATACCTTCCAGAAAGCAAATGGTAGCTAGAGAGAGAGCTGTGGGGCCAAGAGTGAGCTCTCTCTCTTTCTGTCTTTCTCTCTTGTTAGCCGTTAAGACAGAAGAAAGTAGAACAGTTGGTGTGCCCTGAGAATGATCAAGTGGGGAGGGAAAAATCAGTGATGCAGGAGAGAGAAGAGGGGTTGGCCTTAGCCTGGAGCAAGGACACTGCCTGGTCTTGGAAGGGGAATCGGGCCCTTCGGCTTCCTGTCCTGCTCCTGGTGGAGGGTAGGAAAGGGTGCAGAATCTGTTTGTTCTCTTCTGTTCTGAGGGAACAGGAAGCAAGGCCATCAGCTGAGAGAGATAGGAAGGTGTTGGAGGTCTGAGGAGAGACTTGTAAATACGTTGTGTATGGGGCGAAAGGAAAGGAAGTACATAGGGTTGGCGGGCACTCCGGAAGCAGTTGGAGGTCAGTGATGAGTCTGACGGGAGACCAGGGGCCCTTGCTCTGTGTTCTTCTCCAGCCACAGCTAGCTGCCCAGGTGCTGGGGTTGGCAGAGAGCTGTGTGTAAACAGCTTGAAACAGTATGCTGAGGAGCGTGAGGGTGTTGAGGGCTGTGCCGTGTAAAAGGCAAGTACAAAATTGAGAACAAGGAGGAGGGATGGAGCTGTGAGAAGGAAGTGGGGTCATTGACCCTTGCTTCCCAGAGGGGTTGAAGAATGAGAGAGTTGGGAACATGAAAAGAATGAACGGGACAAGTAGGAAATGGGCTGGTGGCAGACTCAGAGTTGAGACTGGAGGCAGTGGTGATAGAGTTGTTATTGGGGAAGGACTGGGGCTAAACGGATGGCCTCAGAAGAACGCAGGGCACCGCATCAAAGCCTAGGGAATCGGGATGCCAGAAGAGTTGACTCTGCTCTTGAAACCACTGTGAACTGTACAAGTGATGCTGGGAGGCTTCCAATAATCCAGGGGCTCCTGTTTTCAAGGAATAAGTGGCTTTCAGAAGACTGACAGAGGGGTGGGCCATCAGTGATGCAGTTTACAGGCACCAGTCTGGGAGCTGGGTTATTGCAGAGGAGAATGGGGGTGGGCGGGGCTGGAGAAGTAGAATTCTTTCTGTCACCCAGATCCAGCAGGCGGTGACATTGGAGGGGTCACGACCTCAAGTGGTGGGGCACAGACGTCGGGGCAAGTATCTGGATTCACTTAGTTTGTGTGGGGACAAGCAGAGTGGCACAGTGCGGGAGAACCAAGGGCTTGGTGTCATCTCTTCTCTCTGTTCCCAGTAACCACAGCTGGCTTTTTTTTTTTTTTTCAATACCCAGGGTCCACATACACCAATCTTTTTTAATCCTTATCTAACTCTGAGGTGGATCTTAGCATCAGCCCAAGAGTACATGTGGGAACCCGAGGCCTTGAGAGACCCTGTAGGAAGGAGACATTCAGCTCAAAGGAGGCAGCACTGGGATTACTAGAAGCCATGTGCCTTGGATGACTTCCGTCATTCTTTGCTCGAATCCGTGGTCTCCGTGTTTGCTTGGGTAGCGCTGAGACCTGTGGGCGCACAGAGCAGAGGATGGAACTGCATTCCTCTGCTTGATGGTGCTCCTGGGAGATGCTCTGGGCTTGGAACGGACTTGTAGTCCTTTGAGGCCAGACCTTCCCCTTCAGTTCACGAATACCTAGATGGTCAGATTCCCCCCTTTCTTAAGCATGTGTTGTTTGCCCAAAAACCTTCAGCCTCTTGGAGGAGATCCTTAGGTGAGCCTTTGAACCACTGAAGTAGTCAGAATGATGGATGCCAAGTGAATAGAGCTGGGTACCTTTTCTGGGGAGATGACCTGGGGGAGGAGCCCTACTTGAATTCATCTCCTGGATCTTTCCCAGCTGACCCAAGGTCTGTGTGAGCTTGGACCCAACTAAGCAGTGAGTGACAACACTTGACCTTTCTCTTGCAGGTTTCCAAGACCCAGATCACCCCAAGTCCAGACCCCGTTTCAGAGCATGGAGGCTGTACCAGCACAGTCCTCCCAGCTAACGAATCCATCCCAGCCTCCGAATCTCCCCAGCTTTCAAGCCACCAGACTTTTCCCCACCATTCTCAATTTCCAGAAACCCAGAGTCCTGCAATTCCTGCGGCTTCAGTTTGCCCCCCTGTGACTCCAGCATCCCCCAGTGCAACCTTGCCTGATAAGCGTCCCTGCCCTTCCCCCAGCCCAGAGCTACCTGCTGAGGCAGCCCCAGAAACCCTTAGACCCAGTAGCTCTCCTGTGGAGACAGTCTCAAGGCACCATAGCCCAGAGCAGCCCCCAGCTGTCTTGCCTCAGCCCCTGATGGAGGGGCCTGAGCTGCCGGACCTTACACGAACGTTCCCATGTGGGGAGGAGGCAGCAGCCCGGAGTTGCACAGAACCCTGTCCCAGCAGCCTGGCTCAGCGCCGATTCTCAGAAGGGGTGCTGCTTCGGCCACCTAGCCAGGACCAAGAGAAGCTGGGAGGCTCCCTGGCTGCTCTGCCCCAAGACCAGGGGAGCCAGCCAGACTTAGATCGTCCCTTTGGAAGTGGGGCAGAGTCTAACTGGAGCTTGTCACAGTCATTTGAGTGGACCTTCCCCACAAGGCCCTCAGGTCTGGGTGTGTGGCGGCTGGATTCCCCACCCCCATCTCCCATTACAGAAGCCAGTGAGGCCGCTGAGGCTGCTGAGGCTGGCAATTGGGCTGCATCCAGCAGGGAAGAAGGAGTGTCCCAGCTGGGACTAGGAACCCCATCAGCTCCAGAGAGCCCAGGAGGGTCTATTTCTGGGGTTCAGGGAAATGATCCAGGTGTCTCCCTACCCCAGAGAGATGATGTAGAGAGTCAGCCTCAGTCCCCGGCTGTTCTCCCCTCTACAGTTGAGGGCCCATCTGGAACCCCCTTACTTCAGGCAGAGGAGAGCTGTGAGGACCAGGAACCGCTGGCGGGGCAGGAGTCTCCTATCACTTTGGCCACCAGGGAAGCAGCCCTGCCTGTTTTAGAGCCAGTACTGGGACAGCAACATCCGACGCCCCCTGACCAACCCTGCATCCTCTTTGTTGATGTGCCTGATCCGGGGCAGGCATTGCCTTCTGAGGAGGAGGTGGTGACCCTAGGCTGGGCAGAGACCACCCAACCCAGGACAGAGGCTCAGGACCCTTGTAGGGTGTCCCCAGAGCCTACAGGCCCTGAAAGCAGCTCTCGCTGGCTGGATGACCTCTTGGCATCACCACCTCCCAACTCAGGCAGTGCCAGGCGGGCAGCTGGATCCGAGCTGAAGGACGCACAGTCACCGGGCACCTGCTCCGAGGTAAGGTGGGCATAGGGAGGAATGGGGCGTGGGGGGCCGGTAGCGTTTGGGTGGGCTTCATTTTTTAGCATGGAGACCACGGAGTATAAGGCAGCTGTGGACCCACACCTCCTATTTCTGCATTTGCTATCAGAGCCATATAGGGTAGTGCTTACGGTTTAGCTGTTTTGAGTTCTAGTCCCAGCACCAGCATGCACTAGCTGAGCAGTCTTAGGAGTGAACCTTAATTGTATGCTTTGTCCTTTCATAGAGGTGTGGGGGAGGGGGAGAGGGCGGGGGGGGGGGCGTAGGTCAACCTCAGGCATCTTTGTCCACCTTACTTTTTTAAGACAGTCTCACTGTGCCCTGCAGTTCACCCATTGACCTAGGCCGGCTAGCCGGCCAGTGAGCTCCAGGGATCCTCCTGTCTCTGCCTCCCCATCGCAGGGATTATGGACACATGCCCCTGTGCCCAACTCTCTTGGGTACTGGGGATCTAAACCTGAGTGCTAGGCTTGTGCTGTCAGCACTTTCCTGAGGTAGCCCCTGCTTGCCTGGAATGAAATGGAGAAAGTGCTTCAGGCAGGGTATAGCACATGCCAAGTAGTCAACCTGGTATTCCTGGGAAGATTATGCAAGGGAAAGGTGTGCAGACCGTGAGGGCCTGGGTTCATCTGACAGCATAGGTATGTTACCTGTGCTCAGCTGGCTCTACTAATGCTTTGCCCAGGTGTAACCTTGAATCAGATCCTTTTCTCCCCTCTGCCTCAGTTTCCGTGTATGTAAAGTGGTGGTGGCTGTGATAGGCTGTACCTCAGAGAGTGAGAGGAGTAAATGAGTTAAGACATGTCAGAGGATAAGACATGTATGAGGATAGTGTTGGGCTCATTATAAATAGTTTATTAAGTGTTGGCTTTTACAACTGGGATTACCGTTGAGTTCAAGATCTGTTTTGTAGACCAGCAGCCAAAGCCCAGAGGAAGTGGTGTCTTATGCAGAGTTACCCAGCAAGTTGGTAGCTGGGCCTAAGCCAGGACCAGCCCAGTTTTCGGCTCTGTGCCTTTTCTCATACCAGGCTGCCTCTGCATTTAAGGGCTAGAATCCAGGTGGCTTTTGAGACCTATTTTTCAATCCTGGACTGGACTGGTTGGGGTGGAGCTGGAGGCAAGGAGGAGCCCCCAGAGGCCCGCTGGAGTTGGGAGGAGGTGGGAGGAGGAGGAGGAGGAAGGGGTTAACACCACACTGACTCCTGCAGTAGGTGTGTCTGTCCCAGGACGTGAGTGACTCAATTGGCTTCTGGGCGGGGCTGCCAGAACTGCAGCTGCTCCCGGAGCCCGGGGAGCTGGGCCAGGACAGGCGGGAGCCAGAGCAGAGCCGTCGGACAGGTCCTGGCTAGGGGAGCAGCCCAGCCCTGGCCTGGTACCTGGCTCACCCAGCAGCCCCAGGGTGGTCAGTGGGGAGGTGTGGGGGGGCATGGCCTGGCCCGGGGAGAGGGAAGCCAGTATGTCTGTCCTGGAACGGCTACTGGCCAACGCGGCACTGCGGGACGAGGCTGGCAGGCTCCGAAGCCCTGAGCCCCGAGCCCGCCCGCCCTCTGGGGTGAGTCAGGGAAAGTTGGGTGGGGGTGTAGGGAGCCTCGTGCCCTGAGTTTTCTGGGCTGGCTGGGGGCGGAGTCTTCCTGGGGAAGGCTGTGCTGAGGGTTGGAAGGGCCTGGGTGCTGCTCATGGGGGCTAGAGGAGCTCTGGGTGGTGTCAGTACCTTGCTTCACAAGGTAAGCTGCAAATCGGTTGCCCTTCATTGACAGTTCCCCCCCCCTCCCCCCAGGCGCATATTTAGGTCTCTCCTTCAGGCAGGATTTCTCCTGGCAGCTAGCCAGGTCTTGCCCAAGGGCTGTAAACATGATCACAGGACTGTCCAACTGAGAGTCCATGTGTGCCAGGCTGTTTAAATGCTCTTGATTGATCCCGACTCACAGGTCACACATAGTAGGAAGTATCTCTTTAAAGTGGAGGATCTTTAGGCCCAGAGTAGTTAAGTGATTTGCTCAAGGTCACACAGCTGAAATCTAGGCAGCATTCTCCTGCCCGAGTGGGGCTCTGAGGCACTAGGTAGCCGTCATTCTCAATTTGAGTTGATTCCCACCTCAATTAACTCGAAGCATTGTTTGTCTCCCCTTCCTGCCCCATCTCCCAGGGACTCCTTGGCTGGGCCCAGAAAGACCTGCAGAGTGAATTTGGGGTTGCAGCAGACTCGCATCCCAGCAGTTTTGGTCCTTCTAGCTGGTCTCAAGATGCTTCTCAGAGCTACAGCCTAGGAGGCAGGAGTCCTGCTGGAGACCCAGGCCCTGGGAGTAGAGACTGGAGCAGCAAGTGTGGGCAAGGATCTGGGGAGGGGAGCAGCAGGGAGTGGGCCAGTAGATGCAGCCTTGGCCAAGAGGTGATAGGAGCCCCTGGCAGCCAGGATGCGGGCGAAGTGTCTGTCCATGAGTGGGCAGCAGGGAAGCCAGCTCAGCTTGGCACTCAGGGCCTGGAGGCTGATACACAGGAATGGGAATTCGGGAAGAGGGATTCCCAGGGCACTTACTCCAGCCGTGACAAAGAGCTCCAGGACCAGGAGTTCGGGAAGAGGGATTCCTTGGGTTCCTTCAGCGCCCGAGAGGCAAGCCTTCAAGACTGGGAGTTCGAGAAGAGAGATTCGGATGAGAAGGGTCAAGAATTGGGGATGAAGGACCTCTCCGGCAGCTATAGCAGCCAGGATGCTGAGGAGCAGGACCGGGAGTTTGAGAAGCGAGATTCTGTGCTTGACATCCGTGGCAGCCGGGCCCCAGCCCAGCAGGACCAGGAGTTCGGGAAGAGTGTTTGGTTACGGGATTACAGAGGTGGTGCCTCAGGGGCCCTCAGCTCACAGGACAGAGGATTCGGGGCACGAACCCTGAGCTCTGGGTTCAGCCCCGAGGAAGCTCAGCAGCAGGATGAAGAGTTTGAGAAGAAGACCCCAAGTGGCGAAGACAAGTTTCGTGAGGCCAGCAGGGACACGGGCCAGCGGGAGGAAGGAGAGTCTGGGGGCCTGCTGAGCCCCGGCACACCTAAGTCGCAGGATGGAGCCGTCAGGCAGAAAGACCAGGGCAACTGGCAAGATGGCGAGCCCAACCAGGAGGTCGCAGGGCTGCAGGGAAGAATGCAGGCAGGAAGTCAGAGCCCTAGCAGTGCCGACTTGGAAGACAGAGAAACAGGGCAGCGAGGCTGGACTGGGGAGTTCAGCCTTGGTGTTACAGCCCAGTCGGAGGCGGCATTTAGTCCCGGGCATCAAGGTTGGAGCAGGGACTTACGCATGGAGGCTACTAAGAGTAGCTCTCAGTTTGGCATCATTGGTAATGACAGAGCGAGTGGCGCTGGCCTCAGCCCCTCCGAGAAGATGGGAGGTGGTCCCTTTGTGCCACCTGGAGAGACCAAGGCTGGAGCTGTGGACTGGACGGATCAGCTAGGTCTCAGGAACTTGGAAGTGTCTAGCTGTGTGAGTTCCAGGCGCTCAAGTGAGGCTAGAGAGAATGTTGTGGGACAAATGGGCTGGTCAGACAGCCTGGGCTTGAACAATGGGGATCTGGCCGGTCATTTGGGAACTGGAGGCTCTGAAGAGCCCAGGGGCATGGGAGTTGGGGAGAAGGACTGGCCTTCTGACGTGGAGGTGAGGAGCAGAGATTTGCCAAGGCGGGGAGAGGTAGGAGGGCACAGCCAGGCCAGAGAGAGTGGTGTGGGGCAGCCCGACTGGTCGGGTGTGGAAGCTGGAGAGTTCCTTAAGTCGAGAGAGCGAGGAGTTGGACAGGCAGATTGGACACCTGATCTTGGGTTGAGAAACATGGCCCCAGGGGCAGGCTGCAGCCCCGGAGAGCCCAGGGAACTTGGTGTGGGTCAGGTAGACTGGGGTGACAATCTAGGTCTGAGGAATTTAGAGGTGTCCTGTGACCTAGAGTCAGGAAGTTCTCGGGGCTGTGGAGTTGGGCAGATGGACTGGACCCAGGACTTGGGACTCCGGAACCTCAATCTCTGTGGGGCCCCAAGTGAAGTTAGGGAGTGTGGGGTGGGGAGAGTGGGCCCTGGCCTAGAGCTAGATCTTAAGAATAGTGGCAGTTTGTCCCCTGGTTTGGAGAATGAAGACCCCTTGGAGGCCAGGGAGCTGGGGGTTGGTGAGACAAGTGGGCCAGAGACGCAGGGTGAAGGCAGCTCATCACCTTCCTTTGAGACCCATCCTGAAGCCACTGGAATGGATACAGAAGAAGCCCCGGGCGTGGGAGCCAGGTAAGGTACTCTATCTGGGCACTGGGAGGGGCTGTGCAATTGCTTTTTAAATGAGGGACCCCTCTGAGGAGGTAAAACCAGCTTTCTCTCTGGACTGTAGTATTTGGAAAATGGAGTCCTTTAGGGCTGTGAATGCTCAGTTTCACATTCTACATTTTATGTTAAACTTTGAAACAAAACTTAGATGCATTCTTTTTGGGGGGGATGAATATAAAATTTGGGGTACCATTTTGCAACTAATGTTTTGGGCTTTCTCGACGACTGAGTTATGGCTGTCCAGGGGAAATGGAATCTGCCACATCTTTGGCGGTTTCTGGTGAGTTGTGTGTGTGTGTGTGTGTGTGTGTGTGTGTGTGTGTGTGTGTGTGTGTGTGTTTGCGCGCACGCGCATATACAAGTGCACTTGTGTGTGTGAGCACATATATACAAGCTCTGTGCCTATGGGATGACTACCTCTGCTCTCATTCCCGTCACTGTTTTTTGGGACGGGTTCTCTCACTGCTCTGAAACTTGCCAAGTAGGTTATGCTGGCAGGCCAGTGAGCCCCAAGGGATCACCCCGACTCTGCCTCCTCATTGCTGGGATGACAAGCCCACACCACTATGTCTGCTCCTTCCCCCCTTTTTTTCTTTTAAACATGGGATCTGGGAATTGTACTGAAGTGTTCATGCTTGGAAGGGAAACACTTGACCAAGTGAGCTACCTTCCTAGCTCGGCTTCTGGTGAGTTCTGTAGGCCTCAAGCCAAATGAGCTCCTAGGATGCTTGTGTAGGTAGTGGAAAGTGACCCGTGGGTGGTGACTGGTTGTCTGGCCAAGGGGTTGGGAACTAGGTGATCCAACCTGCTCTGTTATAGATTCCAGAAGAGCAGTGGTTGAGGAATCTGAAGTTGTCGAGAACCAAGTCCCAGCCCTGTGACCTTGACCCCAACCCCAAGTTAATGAAAGCAAACCAACCTACCTTCCTTCCTCCTTCCTTCCTTCCTTCCTTCCTTCCTTCCTTCCTTCCTTCCTTCCTTCCTTCCTTCCTTCCTTCCGTCTTTCTTTATTTTTGTTTTTTGAGACAGGGTCTCTCTCTGTAGCCTGGCTGACCTCGAACTCGCTATGTAGGCCAGACTGGCCTCTAATTCAGAGATCAACTTGCTTCTGCTTCCTGAGTGCGGGGGATTAAAGGGGTGCTGCCTGGGAAAGAGAACTTTTTGTGGGGGCGGGGGCAGGCTGGTAAGAACCAACCAATCTGTCACATGGATGTTTTAAAACCAACAGAGGTGATTTCACACCTGTGGGAAGGGTATGAAAAAGGCATGGTATGTCTTTCATTAACATTTTCATCCATTGAGATTTGGTTTTCTTCTCTTTAGTGTGTAGAACTCTTTACCTTTTTCAGTCCCAGAGTGGGAGCTTCCTACCAGGCATGTGGGAAGGGCAGGAGAGAGAGGTGTTGGGTGGGGGCTGTTCTGAATGGAAGGGCAGATGGCCGTGGGGGGAGAGCAGGAGGAACCAGGAAGGGGCTAGGGAGGCTCTGGGTGGGGGTTGAGAGAGACATTTGGCATGGAGGTGGAAGAGGGAGGCAGAAAGCATAGGGTTGGGAAGGGAAGCTGAGGAAGGGTGTTTTCAGGTGACTTGGCTGAGGAGAGGAGGACCAGGGGACAGGGAGTGACAGAGGTTACAGTGGACTCTGTATGGGCTGTGAATGTGCAGAATTAAATGTTGGGGGCGGGGACGTTCCTGTGAGTCTGGACTAGGTGTTGGGCTCTGAGCTTCTGTTTCTACCCGTTAACCTGGGAGGTCCAGGGTTCTAGCAGGAGTCCCGGCACTAGGGAGCATGGGCTCCGTGTGCCTGTTCTCATTTTTCTTCCTGAGATTCAGCCCTCTCTGCTTGAGAGTGCAGCAATTCATTGATCTTCACAATTGCCCTATGCAGCAGGAGAGGGATTTTGATCCTGTTCGTTTGTTAGGTTGAGAGATGGTGTGACCTGCTTGAGGTCACAGAGGCTACAGTATGCCATTCTGACTCCCTTCCATCAGCTGCTTTCAGGCATGGCCATTATATTCAAAACAGATTACTAAGGAGTGGGGCTCTGCCCTCTGCCCCTCTGGGGCTGGTTCTTGAGGAGGATGAGTAGCATTCTGTTCTGTTGTTTAGGCTGGAGGGAGGATGCTCCCCACACACTGACAGGACAGTGGCAGCATGTGGATGGCTTCGATGGGGCGGCTGCTTGAATCCCCACACCTCAAAGCACCCACACTTTTTTGGACATGGTACCATGATCCATCTGGTGTTGTCACCCGAGCTTCGAGTTTAGCTGGAACGCAGGCAGCTGAACCTCGTTGTATATAAGAAAAAACGTTTCTTCCACAGCTGGAAGGAAGTCATTGTTTGGGAGGGCCCGTGTGGATGCCATGTTTTCCGATACATGTCCTGAAGAAAGCCAGTCCTGTTTTTGGAAAGAGCTGTGTGCTCTGTGACCATGCATGGGACTGAGTGTGTCTGATAGCATATCTAGGACTTGAACCAAATTTTCCAGACTTCCCTGACTAATGCCCCACAAGCTGGTGCTGTGAGCATCTGACATGGGGAAATTAATGCACTAGAATGCTTATCTTCCAAGAAAAATTTGGAGATTTCCTTTGTACCAGGAAGTCCTTAAGAATGGGTCAGAGTAATCTGGCTTGGGGCCCATCCGCTGGTCCTCATTCTCTACACACCTCTGTGACATCAGGCAAGTGACCTGAAGCAGTGGCCTTTTCTCCTCAGGTGACCTTATCTGAAGACCCATATCCTCATATGTAAATCGAGAATTTACTCCAGGCTCTCTTGGAGTTTTCATGAAGAAGGTTAACTCATGTGAAGTGATTGATACAAATCCCCCCTCTCCTGTGGTAATTGCTTTAAAAAAATATACTAGTCACCTGAATTTGCATCTGTTCTGCAAGTTTGGATGTGAAGTGTCCATAAAGGGAGGCCCTTGGGGACATTTCCGTTGCGGTCCTCATGGTGAACAAACACACCCTTGATGGCAATCATTGGTTGGACTGCTAGCAGGAATAACTATGCCAAACTAGCATGGAGGTGGGTGGTGTGAGAGGAGCAAGTTCTGGATAGAGGGCCATCTCACCCTGGTGCGAGTGATGCTTCTGAGTCTGATAGAGCTGGTACAGGATCCTCTATTTTCTGGCCTCTTGGTCATCCCTTGTTCCTGTCCTTGGGACTCCCACAATGTGAAACCTTCCCAGCCAGTTTGAAGTCTTTGTAGGCTCCAGGAAGACTCAAAGATCATTGATTCCAGCCACCCCATTTCAGGGATGGAGAAACTGAGGCCCACAGGGGGAGTGTGGTTGTGAGTTCCTTTCTGTTCCTGTGGGCCCTGACTTCATTGTCCTCTCTGAGTTCCTTTCCTGTTTCTCTCTGGTATCAAAGGCAACTTGGTCCCTTCAAATGCATCAGCCCAGCTCTGGCCCTGGTCCTCCCTCAATTTAGGTCTCAGAGCCTTAAACACCAGGACATGTTGCAGATCTGTCTCCAGTATTTGCATGTCAAGTAGTGTCGGAGGGTAACGTTGGGCAGATTGGGTGATACTCAGATTGGGTAGTCTATGTGGAAGGTTTAGGTGAGGCATCCTCTCAGGCCAGGAGCCTCTGATCAGAATGACGACCATCTTAGCAATTTATGTTTATTACGTATCAACCATATTGTAGTCATAAAACATGACTACAGACACCTGCCAGTATGCCCAGTGAACTTCTGGGACTTTTTCAATTTCCATTTAACAGATAAAGAAACTGAGGCTTGGACTGGGCAAGCAACTTGGGGCCAAGGCTGGCATGGGTGCAGGATAGAACCTAAGTCGCTTAGCACCCAGGTTCCTGTCCCTTCTGTCCTGCTAGAAAGCCCTTAGGTTGTGAATGCCCCGGGCTCTCAATGAGGGAAGCTTCTCCGATGCAGAAGGCAGAGGCCCTTGGGTGGGTGTACACTGCATTCCCTGGGGCTCTGCCATGTTCTCTGCCACCCCTAGAGCCCACTCAGCAGAGTCTCTCACTACTTTCTGTCTTCAGTGGGCTGAGAGTAGATCTTTCTGTCCCTTCTCAGTTGGCTCACATCGTCTCCGCTGCCTTGTTGTCCGGGCCGGGTGGGGTTCCACTGCTGCTCTCTTGTTGCCAGCTCCCGACTCTAAGCTGGCTTCAGGGTGAGCTGGTTTGGCTGCCATCCAGGCTCCTGAGTCCTCTGTCTTGCTGGACTGTGGCCTCTACCACCTCTTCCCTCCCTTTCTCTCTAATTTCCATCTGTCAGCAGCTTATGGAAGGACAGACTGACACATTTCTCCCTGTCCCTGTCTCATCTTCCTGCTCAGGGTTGACTCACCTGCCTGATTCTTTACCTTCTACGGTATCACCGATTACCTAGCAGTCTCGCTTCCAGGCATTGCCCGCTAGCCTTCACTACCCGTGCGTGTATCGGGGTGTGCCTTTGTGCTGTGGGTAGGTGTGGTGGGTACCAGCACACACCCGCCTGCCCTAGGTGTCTGATGAGTGAGCATGTTTTAGGGAGTGGCGGCTGGACATGGTGTGGGTGGTGCCATCCTGGTATCTGTGCTTTGTTCTGAGAGAGCATTGGGCAGAAGACACATTGCTGTGCTGTAGTCTAAGGTGACCCTGCCTGTTTGTGTGGTCTCGTCTCTCGGCTAGAGATGCTGGGGGCACAGAGACAAAAAGGAGCCTGGCTTTGCCCTTGAGGAGCTCCCAGACAGGCAGTGGAGGCAGACACACAGGATTGAAGGTGGCTGGTGCTGTAGGTTCAGGCTGGTGTAGGTTGGAGCCCAGAGCTGAGGAGCTGAGTAGCTGTGTGAGCTTGGGAAGGGAACAAGACAGCTTTGGAGGGTGATGTGGGCTCCGCAGAGGCTATCAAAGTGTGGGTGTTGAGAAACTTCCCACTTGAGGGGAGGAAGCTACTTGTTCCAAGATGGTCGTGTGTTCTGCCCAGGTGTGTTCTAGAGAGCCCAGGTTCTGTGAGGCCTGGGGGATAAAGAGTTAAGGTGTGAAGGGGCTGGAGATGAGATGAGGGTGAAGGCAGATGGGCTGACTCTTGACTTATTCCAGGAAGTGTGCCCATCCAGGCCCGTGCTCCTGAATGGAGCTTGAACCACTCTAACTTAGGGCAGCACTAATAAGTGTGATTTCTGGGAATGTCCTGAGTGCTGGATGCTATGCTGAAAGGCTTCAATCTTTATTTTTTCCCTCCCTAGTGACTCCGTAGGGGAATACAGGGTATTTACAGGCAAAGGGACTTATGTAAGGGCTTAGGTACAGGTACCTATCCTAATCCAAAGATCTAAAACCCAAAATCTAAAACTTTAAAACATTTTTTTTAGATTTATTTGTTTGTTTGTTTTTCTTTTGTTTTGTTTTGTTTGTTTTGTTTTGTTTTTTTTTCAAGACGGGGTTGCTCTGTGTAGCCCTGACTGTCCTGGAACCCACAGAGATCTGCCTGCCTCTGCCTCCTAAGTGATGGGATTAAAGGCATTCGCTACCACAGCCTGACAGATTTACTTATGTTTTAATTTTATGAGTATGAGTGGTTTGTTTGTATGTATAGCTGGGTACTATGTGCACGCAATGTCTGTGGAAGCCAGAAGAGGGCATTGGATCCCCTGGAACTAGAATTAGCTGTCTTTTGGGTTCTGGGAATTGAACCCCAGTTCTCTGGAAGAACGTTCAGTGCTCTTAGCCACTGTCTCTCCAACTCCGTAAAATTTGAAACTTCTTGAGCACAGCATGATATCACACAGGAATCCATACCTGGTCCCAGTGGCAGGTCACAAAGTACAGGCAAACCAAAATTACCATAAAATTACCTTAAGTCTACACAAGTGAGGTAAATGTGAGACACAAAGGACTTTTTTGTTTAGGTTTTGTTAACCACAAAGCTCCTTACGGGGCTCGGCAGACAGCTCGGTCAGTAAAGTGTTTACAGACCTGAGTTTGGCCCCTGGAGCCCGGGAGGAAAGCTCGATGTGGTAGTGTGCACACTTGTAATCACAGTGCTGGGAAGGCAAAGACAGGACGGTTTCTGGGACTTCTGTCCGGCCATCTTGGCCTACTTGATGAAAGTTCCCAGCCAATGAAAGATCATGTCAAAAGAAAAAGGGAGCAGGGCCAGTAAGTGTCTACTGTCAAGGCTTGACTATACAGATTTGATCTCTGGAACCTGCATTGTAGAAGAGATCTTACTCCCAAAAGTTGTCCTTGGAGACACGCATGCACGCGTGCATGCACGAATGCATGCACGCCAGGCACAGTGTCTGAGATTGTTGTTTGGCCTCACCACGCGTGCTCACATGCATTGACACACAAAGAAATTGCATTTTATGTATGCGTTAAATATTTCAAAACTTGGAACTTGAAAACTGAACCCAAGCATTTTGATAAAGGATGCCCCCAGACTGTAGTATGTGATAAAGCCTCGTCTGGGACCTTCTAGGCAGCCAAGCAGGGTCATTCCTTTCTTTGTGTGCTGTGTGCTTCAGGGGAGAGAAACGAGGTCTCACTGCTTGGCGAATGACTTTGGTTTCTGGCCTATCCCCTTTGCAGCCCCAGGTGCCTGGCTCGCTCCCCACCTTCCGGCTCCCAGAGCCTTCTGGAGGGGATAATGGCAGCCAGCAGCCCAAAGGCAGCTACTCGAAGGGAATCAGCAGCTTCAGGCCTCAGGGTTCTGTTGGAGGAGGAAGGAGCCACTGCAGGTGCTGGCCAAGGGGAACCCAAGGAGTCTAGCAGGGACCCTTTGCCTTCCTCGAGGCCCCAGCCTGATGGGGAAGCCAGCCAGGTAGAAGAGGTGGATGGCACCTGGAGTCTTACAGGGGGGGCTAGGCAAGATGAGCAGGGGTCGGCCCTGCCCCCCCGACGGCCTCCCAGAGGACCTCTGCCCAGCTGCCCCAGTGAGGACTTCTCCTTCATAGAGGTCAGTGGAGAGTGGGTGAACTTGTGGTGGTGGATGGGCTGTTGGAGGGGTCAGGATATGTGGGTGATGGAGTCAAAGCCCCTTTCTCAGAGCTTTTCTGAGCAGTCCTGGGAGACAGATAAAGGTTGTGGGTATCTCATGGCAATGAGAAACGGCAGTGGTCATCAGCTCCTGGACTAATGTTGGGGAGCCCCTGTGGTGAAGCGGATATGGGTCAATAATAGCAATGATGTTGGTATTGTTTTGAGCAGGACACTGAGATCCTTGATAGTGCCATGTATCGGAGTCGTGCCAACCTAGGGCGTAAGCGGGGACACCGGGCCCCAGCCATACGGCCTGGGGGTACCCTGGGCCTGTCAGAGACAGCAGACTCAGAGACTCGGCTGTTCCAAGATTCAACGGGTATGATCAGTGTATCATTTAAATGGAGTCTGTGTCAGTGCTGGGTTGTGGGTAAGGGTGGTATCTGGCATGTTGCTCAGGTAATGATACCCTTCCCCTGACATTTTCAGAGCCAAGGACTTCCCGAGTACCATCTTCAGATGAGGAGGTAGTGGAGGAGCCTCAGAGCCGCCGGACACGGATGTCCTTGGGCACCAAAGGGCTGAAAGTCAACCTCTTTCCTGGCCTGAGTCCATCAGCCTTGAAGGTACCATCTGATCATTCAGCACACACTGCTCTGCCAGCCTTGCACCCAGCGTTTCCTTCCATCCGTTTGTTTGTCCATCCATCAGTCAATCCATCTATCCATCTACCAACCCATCCATCCACCCACCAATCCAACCATCCATCCATCCATCTACCAACGCATCCACCCACCCATCCATCTATCCATCCATCCATCCATCCATCCACCCACCCACCCACCCACCCATCCATCCATCCATCCATCTATTCATCCATCCGTTCCTTCTCCCATCTCTTCTCTTATTGTGCTAAAGCGGATTCTGGAAGGTTCTCTTTGTTCCCTGCTCAACTTTTTTCAGTGTGCTAAGTTTGATGGAACAAAGAACAGGATATTCTTTCATCTCAGAGCCTCCAGGGCATTGGGTGTGGGCTGGGGCTGGGCATGGCCCTTGCCCATGAGTATCTCTGGTGAAGGGGGGACAGATGTAAAGGTGTAAATGGGGAGTTCAGCCATGGGCTGGGCTGTTCAGTAGAAGGAGTTATTTCCTGACCTTAGCTGGGAATGGGAGGTGGCTTGGGCAGGGTTTCTTGAAAGCAGTTTCTCTTAGCCTTGAGGTTGGCACAGGAGTTGGCTCTGGGTTGGGAAGGACATTGCCTGCAGAAAGGATAGACAAGCAAAAACAGGTGCAGGAAGTACCACTCTTTTTCAGCCTAGTTGACTGAATTTTGTTTCTCCAATATCTTTCTGATGTTCGAGGTGTGCAGATCAGTTCTGAGGAAGGCAGATCTTTGATTCTCTGTCTATATCTATAGAGGGGTTTGGGCCTGGTTTTGGGGGCTGCACCCTCTTGGTAAAGGCCTGGCCTTCTGAATCTTGCTGCCTGTCCGTCTTTCATCTGTGTCTTCCAGGCTAAGCTGCGCTCCCGGAACCGCTCAGCTGAGGAGGGGGAGGTGACAGAGAGCAAGTCAAGCCAGAAGGAGTCCTCCGTCCAGCGTTCTAAGTCCTGCAAGGTCCCGGGGCTGGGGAAACCCCTCACGTTACCCCCCAAGCCAGAAAAATCCTCAGGGTAAGTAACTGAGTTCTAGGTATCTCCTGAGCTTCAGGTATTATCCTGAGAAGAGGAAACCCACTTTGTAGAAGTGGAAAACCGAGGCTGAGAGGAGGTTGAGCTGCCTCACATTAAGTAGGGAGTCCAGGCCTGCAACTGAACCCCAGTCTGCCTCTTCTGATTGGAGGGTAGATGTTCTCACCTTGTTCAGTGTCTTTAAACTTTGCTTTTGTGACCTTTGCACTCTGCTTTCCAGGTCAGAAGGATCATCGCCCAACTGGCTACAAGCCCTGAAGCTGAAGAAGAAAAAGATCTGATCAGGGGCCAAGGTAAGGCTAGGTTCCTGGGCTTGGGTGAGAGTAGGGCCTGGTGTGGAGGTCCTGTCCTGTGCCCTCTTCTGGTCCTTAAGGCTCTCTTTCTATGAGAGGCTGGAAGGAAGCAGGTGAAGCTGAACTGAGACCTGGTTAGGTCCCTTGGCTCCTCTAAGTTTGTTCCTGGGGCTGGAGTATATCCTGGGATTGAAGAGGGCGTGGGACTTCCATCTTAGCCTGTGCCCCTGTGTGCTGGGACAGTCCTTCAGCTGCTGCAATTGGCCTAGTATGGTCAGCTAGCCTACACAGTTTAGAGCTCCTAACTTGAGGTCCTAGTAGGGACTGCCTCATCCCTGGGCTCCCATGAGGGAATCAGAATGGCCCTAGGGCAGAGGAAGCTGGACCCCGTCTCTTCTCTGACCTCTGTCCTCTCTCCCAATTTCAGGTCCTTCCATCTGGCAGTCTCAGGCAGTGCCATTCCTGTGGGGTCCCCAAGTGAGGAGACAGCTGGAGCCCCGCTAAGGCTCAGACTGCAGCCTCCTTCCCCCTCCACTTCTGAGGAGTGTCTGGGAGGCACATTTATGCACTTTGTACCACCGTCCCAACTTCTTCCACACCTTCCTTCCCGGCCCGGGTTCCCTTACCTAGTGGTGGGAGGTTTTGGCCCTTCCTTCCCTCACTCTTCCCTTCACCCTCTCGCTTCCTTCTTCCGCTTCCCTTGGGTTTTCTTTTGATACCAATTTATAGCATTTTTTATAAAAGCCTTTGATTTTTGTAATGGGTGGGCCCCACCCCAAACCCCGCCCCAGGTCTCCCTCCTTCCCGCTAGGTGCCCCACAGAGACCAATGACATTTTACCACTTGAAACAATGAATAAAGTTTTTTGGGAATTGGTGTTGCCCAGGACTGTGGTGCGTGGCGGGACTCGTATCCCTCCCACTCTAGGGGAGCATTTGGGAAACGCTACTTCTTCCCTGTGTTAGTTTAGCTCTGCATTTCTGTGACAAGATCCTTGAGCAAGTACCTCAAGAGAGGAAAGATTTGCTGTCTTGTGGTTTCAGTCCATCACGGTGGGGTGGACAGATAGACCAGAGCAGAGACATGGTGTCTAGGAAGCAGAGAGAACCCCTTGGCTTTTGTGCTACCTGGTTCCCAGCTGTTGGGTACCACCATGGTCATTCAGGGTGAGTCTCCTTCCTCTGTCCCCAGACACACATAAATGTGTGCTGCTAATCTAGGCTGTTCTCTATGCAGTGGGATTAACTTGTTGCCAGGGGCTCACTCAGACATTAGATATGTCACCACCACCCCCACTCACCCCGCCACCCTTCCACTCTTTGGGCTTAGTGTCTTTGCAGGAGAGTATACAGGTTGTAGTGGGTTGATTGCTGATTCAAACACCACCACCCCATCTCAGTAGATTGACACAAAAAAATTTTATTTCTTACGGTACAGTCCACTGTGGGTTGGTAGTGTGGTGACTTGTGTTTCAGTCATTGGAGTTCAAAGTCCTTCCTCGTGTAGGCTGGCCATTCTTAGGGCCTTGGAATCCTGCCACACTTCCATAGGAGGGAGCAGGGAGTCAGTCTTAGTCACGTTGGGCTGCTATAACAAAATACAATAGGTTGAGTGGCCTATAAACGAATTTATTTCTGATGGATTTGTAGGCTGGGAAGTCAAATCAGGGTGCTGTCAGATTCCATGGCTGGAGAGGAATTAATTCATGGTGTATAAATGGTAGCTTTCCACTGTGTGCAGACACAGTGGAAGTGACCAGGCAGCTCCAGGGCTCTTATAATCTACTAATCTCACTTATGATGCCTGTAGTCTCAGTCACTTCCCAGAAGGCCCCTTATTCCTCACACCATCAACTTGGAGGTTAGGATTGCAACATTTCGGTGACAGACATTCCAGGCTTACATTCCAGCCACCCAAGGTCTTTTCTCAATATCACTTAATCAGATATGGATGACAGTTCAAGGTGCGGCTTATCCTGAGGCACATTGCTCTCCAGCTGTGAGCCCACGAAGTCAAACATTTTATATGCTTCCCGAATACACTACAGGACAGTCATGGGCTAGACATTCCCAGTCTAAAGGGAGAAATAGACAAGAAGACAGGAATAAAACATTCCCTGCATGTCTAAAACCTTAAAGCTGGAAAATAATCTTTGAGGCTCTGCCTTACAGGCTCACTGGAGTAGAGGCCATGCCTTCTAGAACTTCTTGGGTGGTGGTCTTGCATTTAGGGTTGGTTTTTGTGGCTCTCTTGGGGTTGTATGCCTACAGCTCTCACACTGGTGTAGACAAATTCTAAGAGGTCTTATTAAATAAAAAACACGGAGCCTAATATAGGGGTGAAAGCCTTAGAGATCAGGGAAATAGGAATAGCCACCAGCTAACCTTGCCTCACCACACAATAGCTTCCAAAGTGCCACAACTTCCTGTCTACCCAAGCTTTCATTGCCTTGCTGTTCTGCCCTCTCATTGGCTCTTAGCCTAGCTAACCTCACTTCCTTGTCACTGCTTGTCCTTACAGACCTCCAGGTCTCTATGGTTGGTACTAGAATTAAAGGCGTGTGTCACCATGCTTGGCTCCGTTCCCAAGTATGGCCTTGAACACACAGAGACCCTGCCTGCTAAGTGATAGGATTAAGGGCGTGTTCTACCACTGCCTGACTTTTGTGTTTACTGAAAATGGCTTGCTATTTGCTCTGATCTCCAGGCAAACTTGATTTATTAACATACAAATAAAATATCACCACATTTCAGCACAAAATATCACCACACACTGGGTCTATATACTAGTGACTCTTCTATTGTGAGGTCTCTTGGAGCCCATGGCTCCACTGGGCATAGTCCTAATGGGCCATAGGACTCTAATTAAGCCTGTGCCTTGACTGTTCCCTTTCTGGGTCCTGAGACACCTTTGGCCATCCTTTGGTATTCAGGCAACAAAGGTAGCCATGTCCTCAAGGCTTGTTCACTTTGTGCACCAGCTGAGATAGCACTGTACAGATGCCACCGAAGGGGACCACCCAAGCTTCCTGCGGTGGAAGAAGCCTTTATTGTAACAGGGCCCACTGGAGCTGAACCTGAAGAGGCAAGAAGTGCTGAAGTGAAGAGTAGAGCCTTGACGTGGTGCTGTGCAGTGAGTGCTGACACCCCATGGCTCTCCTGGTTCTCTTTCCAGGCCCTGAAATTCTTGGCTTGCAGGGGAAGGCTTGGTCCCTTTCTGAAATGCCACAGGATGATGTATTCCCTATTGTTTAGATGAGTAGCCCTTGGCTGGTCTGTGTCAGGTGATCACCTGAACACACTCCTGCGGTTCTTCCCTGAACATACCATGCTTTCGTGTCCTGTGACGGAATCAAGGGCGGGAAGGCTGGATTGGGCTCCTGGTTTCAGATGGCCACATCCCTCATGCTGGAGAAGGCAAAGCAGAGCAGCAGGGCCCATGGTCAGCAATGTTTGGTGGCAGATTTGTCATAGACTAGACTGGGAAGCAAGGATGCTAAACCAGAACCAGGTGCAGGCTCCATATCCCAGAAGCTCCAAGCCTTCAAAACCCAACAAGCTGGGAACAGAGTGCTCAAAATTGTGTGTGTGTGTGTGTGTGTGTGTGTGTGTGTGTGTGTGTTGGGGGGGTACATTTCAGATTAAAAAACTATAACATCTGCCTTAACATTTTATCCGTAAATCCTTTCTATATTTGACTATATGTATTAAACAAAAGCCAAGTTGTATCTTCAACACGTTCTTAGGATTTCTTCAGCTAAACATCCTGTCTTCTCACTTGTGCTCCTGACCAACCAGCTGTCAGATGGGCTTCCTACAACTCTCTCCTCAGGTTTGATTAATCTGCTGGAATGGCTCACAGAAGTCAGGGAAGCATTTCTGGTTCATGATGAAAGATATTATAACAACCATCAATAAAGAGGTGCATGCTATGAGGTATGGGGAAGGGGCGTGACCCTTTGCCCTCTCTGGCTGCGTCACTGTGTCGGCCAGCTTTCCATTGCTATGCCAAATAACTGAGATTGAAACAACAACAAAAAGGATTTATTTTGATTTATGGTTCCAGAGATTTCAGCCTATGGTCACTTGACTTATTGTTTTAGTGTCTGAAGCTAGGTATTAAATAGATCATGGTGTGGGTGGATGGCAGATGTCACAGTGGACAGGGAGGAGGGAAGAGGGGAGAGAGATACAGACAGACAGACACACACACACATACACAGAAGTGTGTGTGGGGGGATTAGGTGGGGTGGAGAATGCACCTGGGACAATATATACACTTCAACAGCTTGCCCCTAATTGATCTACTTCCTCCAACTAGGCCTCACCTCTTAAAGTTGCCATTGTCCTCCAATAGCCCATTGAGCCATGGACTCAGGAATGACATTGGTGAGCGTATAGCCTTGATGATCTAACTACCTCCAAAAGTCCCACCTATGAATACTGTAGCACTAGGGACCAATCCTTCAATGTATGAGCTTTTGGAGGCATATCAGAACCAAAGCACAACAGTTACCGTCTAGAAACCTCCCTGAGTTCTGCTGTTCAGAATCTCCAATCCCTATTTTGTTCTTTATGGAGACTTCCTTGTCTGGGCAGTTTTGCTGATGGACTGGTTGGGGAAAGCTAGGAATATCTTCCAAGGTTCTTCAGCATCCCTTCCTTGAAGGGTAAAGCACAGGACCTCTGGAGTGACGTGGGTCTTAGGACCTACAATCAGACAAGGCAGGTCAGATAATACTTTTATGGCTGGGGAAGGTCAGAATTTCTGTCTTAGGGTGGAAGCAACAAACCAGAAACCATGGTTGAAAGCCAAACTGTGTCTTATATCACAACCTGCTGTAAAAATACTGTGAACTAGATAGCTTGTACACAACAGCTCTTAGATTTTGGGAGGCTAAAATGCATAAGATGGAGGCACTGAGAGATTCGGTATCTGGTGAGGACCCATTTCCTGGTTCACTTCTTATTTGGCTCACATGGAGGGAACAAGGCAGCTTCCTTGGGCTCCTCATAAGAGCACAGATATGCTTCAGGAGGGCTCTACCCTTGTGACCTAATCACCTTTCATAAGGCTCCACCCCCTACTAGTGTCACACTGGCGATTCTTGGGTGTAGGGGGTGAAAACATTTGGAACTTAGTAGAGACCTCCATTAGACTGCATTGGGCGAGATTCAACTCATGACTCTTAGGAACTGCAAGGCCAACTGAGAAATGTAGTTTCATTATGTGGCCAGAGCATGGACTGGATATTGGTTGAAAAATCATCCTTCTTGCCAGAGGATTGGTTCCTTTGGCCCTTCCAGATTAGGCATTCTGGAACGACAGGTGCTGTCTGTTCTCACCTAAGCCCCTACCTCTGACACCGTCACTTGTCAGTTCTCTGTCGTCTAGAGCTCCACACTCGTCTTTTTAGAGCCACCTTTACTCCATTTTGGTCCTTTGAGTCCTGTACCTTGAGTTTCTGCCTTGACGTCTCTTGATGATGGACTGGGCCCTGTAAACCCAATGAACCCTTTTCCTTCCAAGTTCATCTTGGTCAGTGTTTTATTTGCAGCACTAGAAAACAAACTAAGACAAATGCATGTATGAAATGTCTCAAACTTTCCCAGAATCCCTACTTTCAACTTCCTAAAGTAGTGGCTTTTCTTAAACAAAAAATTTGGCAGTGAGTTTCATCATGGCGTCTTCATGCATATGTGCCGTTGTGCTTTGATCTTGGTGCTCCCCTTCCCTGCCGCCTATCCTCTTGCCTTGCTCCAGCTGGTTTCCTGTCTTCCTCAAGGTAGTGCTCCCCTCTGTGTTCCTATTACTTGTAATCCATGACTCTGTTTCCCATCTCTTCTTCCTCTCCTATCATCCCTAGTTTCATGACC